TTTTTTTTTTTTTGGTTTTCCAAAAAATTTATTTAATATTTTTCAATCAATTGTTTATTGTTTTCATTCTTTTTAAATTACATTACTATTCATTTTGCGATTTTTGTTGCACTAAAATTTGAATAATTGTGAAAGAATTTCATTGAAAAAACTACATCATATTTTTAACTTTTTTTTTTTAATTCCCTAAAAAAAAAGAAATTGCTTATTTATCAATGCATTTTGCATCATAAAACACTTCATTCATGAAAATATATTCAAAAATGAAATTATTGTAATTTTTTTTCTTCTTCTTCTTTCTGTCGTTTTTCTTTTTTCTTTTTTTTCTTCACAAACAATTCCACACATTTAACTAATATTTCTTGAAAAAATTTTTGAAAGAAAAATAATTTTTTCACAGAAACAGAAAAGAGTTTTTGCTTTTCAATGACTTTTATTGATTCATAAGCGACCGTTGATTTGATATTTTTGAAAGAATCAAAAATGTATCGGAGGATCGTTTATTTACGCATGATGCTTCCAAAAATGCATCAGAAAGCTGCATTTGTCTTCTCTCTTCTCTCTTCCTTTCAACAAAATTTTTATATATATATATTTTTTCTCTTTTTTTTTTTTGCTAATGAATTAAGGAAAAGGTTTATTATTTATAAATTGTTTTTTTTTTTTTTTTTTTGTGCAAAAAATTTAGAATGCTATCATTTTTTGTTTCTAAATAAATTAATCAAAAATTTGCATATATTGAAATTAGCAAATTTGTAAAATTATTTTTAATCTCACCTGGCAAACTTTTTAATATTATACCAAATTGAAATTTAACAATTTTTTAAAATGTTATTTTATAACTTTACTCTTACAATTATTCCATTTTATTAAAACTATTAAAATTAGCATCAAATAATCATAGCTAAAATGTTTCATGATTTTTTGTTTTTTTTTTTTTTTTCTTTTCCTTCAATTCTTCTTTTCATTCATACAATATGTTGTTGTAATTTTTTTGAAATTATTTTTTTGTAAAAATAAAAAATAAAAAAATTAGCAAAATAAAATGACAAATATAAGCATTTATTTAAAATGTTTAATTATTTTAGCTAAATATACACTATAAGCATACGCATCGTGATAAGCCACAATATGAATGTGATGAATGTCACGTTATCTTTGCGATAAAACGTGAATTAAGTACGCATATGCGTATACATAGTGGTGAACAACCTCATACATGTACACAATGTGGTAAACAATTTGGTACTCGACAACTTCTCAAGAAACATTGGATGTGGCATACAGGTGAACGATCACATGTATGTCCACATTGTGGTAAAGCTTTCTTTCAGGTATTTCATAATTTTGTTATTATTAAATTTATACAATTATCATGTTACATTTTTTTTTTTGTTTTATTTTATAGAATTAATTTCG